AACATCCGCAGATGTGGTCATATATACGGCGGTTATTATAGAAGCTTCAATGTGACACAGTAGTGCCATTCCATGAAAAGCGGCGTATGGTCTCCAAGTAAAAGAATGCGTGTGCCCTAAACGAGAAAACAATGGGCGGACTTAAATAAAATGGAATTTTGAAAGGGGATCTGAGGTTATGAAGCCTGCATATCAGAGACAAGACACCAAAAGACAAATTTAAAAAGCAGGCGACATATCCTAAGGGTGATTATACGGTATTCAAGTTTGGAATACTGGAAACACCAAAGTTGAAAGAAACTAACAATACCAGATAACATTTGTACACCACAATAATGTCGTGCTGAACAATCCTTAAGGATTGAAAATACAACATATAAGATGATCTTATAGCTTTTATTTTTAATACATACCAGATCAAATTATAAATAAAAACTGTTTGCAAAGCACTTTCAAAACATGGGGAATGTTTGTTAGTTTAGTATATACAGTTTTGCATTTATCTTGTTCTTATAGGTGGATTTATAAACAAAGCTGTGTTTACTAAAGACTAATTCTAATTCTGTTTTATTGCAGACATGCTATGTATCGTTCCTACCATTTCAAAGAAAAAAAAACAACAAAACAAAAACGAAATACCTAAGGATGCCATAACCTTAGATTTGCAGCTGAGCATTACATTGACTGAACAGGTTTGACAGATTTATTGTCCACACAAGTTTTGGTATACCTGTGTGAAAAATTTGTGCAAGACTTAGTTAGGAGTTACGGTCCATTGTTTACCAACTTACTGAACTATAATTTTCCTTTGATTGAATTATGTAATATTTAATCACCTTACGTGATAGCTCTAGTTAACCGCGTCCGTAGGGTTAGAGTCGATGACTTCTAATCCAGTTACCTCTCTGGCGTGGGTTCGATCCCCGGGAGATGCTTTGGTTGTTTAGCGCGGAGCAAGGTAGTCTAGTACTGGTGTAACTCTCCAGGAACGATGGTTAGGAAACTACCTGCCTATATGACTGAAATACTGTTGGGAAAAGGCGTAAAATGAATGATACAAACAAACAAACAGTGATAGCTCTAGTCAGTAGTATATTCTCACCATCTAAACAATACGTTTCAGTTTTTATTTTATACCTGTACAAATGTGCCAAATTGACATTAGATATGTTTTTGATGTTCTTAATCTACTGTTACCTTCGAAACATGTATTTCAATAATTGAAAGGAGTTTGACACATTTCCATTCTATGACACTTTGACAAACATCAAAAATATTTGCATGTGCATAATACAAAAGAATAAGAACAACTCCACATGGCCTATTTACTTCCCTTGTCACATACCGATACCAAATCAATTTAAATCTAATTCTGTAGTAATCAATTATAAAGCGTTGATAATATGTTTGATAAACTTCGCTTGCTTGTTCTGCAATATTCAGTTGTTGAAAGGAATGTGTATTTAACCCCGACAAAATTACACTGAACTGCACCATTTCAGTAGGAGGTTCATCGGTAAACACCCAAACCAGATTCTCCAATTCTTCTTCAGAACAATTTATTTCAAACGAACAATCTGTACAACTAAACATCATCGGGTGATTATTCATCATGTTGGGTTCACATGTTACAGAAACTTGATAAGTTTGTGAAAATGGTATTTATAATCCAGGATTTCTTAAAATTGTCAAGATGATATTTTAGAATGAAAGGCTTAAAACAAAGTCTAAGGCATTCGATATGCAACTGATCGGTATTATCAAATAGGTTTTTATCAATCTAATCTTTAAACAGGTTCCTCCAAGAAAAAGTAAAGTTTCTCGAAAAAAAATCCAAAGCATTTATATTCTTGATTTGCAGTTGATCTCCCAACAGAATTGTTCCCTGACATGCTATCAGTATGGAACATTCTTAAGGCGATCTAAAGTTCCCCGATGTACAGTTTTCAATCCCTGCATCAACCCTTACCATTATTGGTACATGGCCGTGTTTCTGTACATGATGCATGGAATTAAATACAATAAAAGCAGAGTTTCTATTAGAAGGTGCAACTTTCAACCATAATTTTTTTTCGGGAAAAACCATCAATAGCTGCATGAATTGATATTCCAAATGGTTTTAATTTGTCATATTCATCGACATGAATTACGAAGTTTGGGTCTCGATTAAAATATTGTCTACGTCTTAATAGTCTTGCTTTCCAGTTGACTACTCCACAAGGGTCTAACGTTTTAAGAAAAATCCTCACTGTATTTTGATATGCTCTGATTCCATATATTAAAAACAGCATTCTCCCAGCTGCTTGGTAACCTAGTCCTGAATTCCCCTCTCGATGTACCTGTACTATTCCACGAGCAATATCCTCTGGGTTGCTTTCTTCACGTCTACGCAAGTTCAAACGTTTAAGCATTATTTTTATCTTGGTTTATGAAATTACAATATGATGAACAAACAAAAACATTCCAGTCATTACCAAATACGCATATCTAAGTTTGAAAGGTTTTTGACAGAATCGTATAGCCTATGCTCATCTGGTGTCGTACCATAGAAAGATTTGATATGAACGGCCAAAAGACGTACCTGAAAGTAAACAAATAGCAATTTAAATTATCAGAATTTTTCACAGAAAACAGCATCATTCAATAACATTAATACCAGTACTTTTGCAAAGAATATTACTTTATACTATTACATTAATATAACTAAAATATCATATGACGACTAACGACAATTATGATGACGACGAATACGACTAAAATTACGACTTCTACTGCGACTGTTACTACTTCTCCTACTACTTAACTACTTCGGCACTTAACTATTTCGGCTACTACCACGACTAAAAATACTGATACTACTGCTACTGCCACTCTGCTGCTACTGCTCTCAATATTGCCATTAATGCTAATACTACTGCAACGTAGACTGACGCTTTTTCAGGGATTTTAGAACAGCAACAATCGACTCTTTTAAACAACTACACGTATATAAATAACAACACACAGAACTATGAACTTTCTTAAATGCAAATTTTAAAACTGTTTTGAACATCGAATGCGTATTTTCATGTGACGTACTTTTGAATGTAGGTAACATCCGTATAAAGACATTTGCTCAAAAGTGACCGTTATCAAAGTCGAAGTAAGAGAAATGTTCGAAAAGAATTGCTTATTATGGAACTAGATGTTAGAAATTTTAGTAATCAGTAATTTCTTTATGTTGTTCCTTCGAAGTACTCCCCTTTACTAGAAATGCATAATTTTAGTCGATGGATCAATTTCCGGAATGCGTCAAGTATGTTGATTTGGGTATACTAGTAGGCACATCCAAGTGTCTGTCTTGTGTGATATAGAGCTATGTCCAGCGAGTACTTTTTTAATTTCGGATGAAAAAAAATGAAGCAAGGGGCAAGATATGGTGAATAAAAAGGGTGCAGTAAAACTGCTACCTTTCTTCTGTCAAAACGTCTTTCACAATGGCAGACTTATAAGTTGGGGCATTTCAGTTCTAGTGAAACTTGCCGTTTTTCAATGGCAACTAAATTCACTAGAGAAGAAAATTGCATACAAAACCTTTGCACTCAACGAGCGTTCTAGCAATATTAGGCCTGTTGCTAGCTTTGGTAGCCATTATTTCATTTCCAATTTTTCGTAATGGTTCAAATTAATGCACCCAAGTTTCATAATTTACTGCATTTGCAAATTTCTTTTTATTATTCTTTGGAAGTATTTTGGTAAACTGTTTGATTATTATTTTAACTCTTTGTCCTCGTAGGTTGCAGTTACCAAATTTTGATTTTAAATTTTGAATTTAGAATTAAAGTATGAACTGTTAAATCTTAGAAATATTTAATAGATTCCAAAACAATAGTGACATTTTCATTTATTTTCATTATACACATTTGAATGTATGTCTGTCTCTGTGGCCTAGTGGCTTTGGCGTTCACCTACGAAGAGGCAGATCGAAGTTCGTATCCAACCTGGGTGGCTGAGGTAGTCGGTTGCTGTATGCCTCCCTCACATTATATAGAAGAGATGATTTGAGATATATTGTGTGTGAAAATGTGTCCCATGAGCTAATAAAGCTGACCTTTTCAATCGAGGTAAAACTATAGTAAACAAAGTCTTTACATTACCTTTATAACACTCTGCCCCTGGTATAACTCTAGCTACGGACAAAGCCATTTTTTGCATTGTAAGATAATGAGGTATGTACCATCCACGGAACAAGAAGCGTAGGCACCCTGGTAACCAAGTCCAAAAGCCATCATCCAAAGCTGAACCAAATACAGCAACATGGACCTCATGTTTTTTGTCTAATTCTAAAAACTTATCCTGATACGACTGTTATCTGTTATGAACTATGTACGTGGAAATGTACACAAGTGTCCAAAAGCTAAACATGGGCAATTTAAGCCATTAAAGGGGCCCCTATGTTCCGGTTATTAACCCCACTGACCCGGTCGTTCCGATATTGCCAGATCTCTTCCTTATACTTCTTCTTACCAATTATACAAAAGATTTGTAGATACATGAACTTGCAGGAGTGTCCAAAAGCTCAAAATAGGCATTTTAGGTCATGTGGACTAGCTTTTTGGTATTTGTAGAACTTATCCAGACACAATATCTAACTAATTATACTTAAGATATGTGAAAATAGCAACTAACCAGAGTGACCAAAATATGGATATTTTGTCTCCTTTAAGGGGCCCCTTTGTTTCCGATATTGAACCTACGCGCCTGGGGTGGATGTCTCGAAGGCATCGTATCCCGGGATTACGACGTTAGTTACACTGACGTAAGGTCATCGTTGCATTTTTTCTGATTGTCTCGAAGAGTTTGTAAATAACGAAGTATCTTAAACAGCTCGTAAAGTTACGGTAAAAAAATGACCCCATAACAGCATCGTAAGTCTACGATTACGAAAAATACAAAAAAAATGTACATGCTTGAAAAAAGGTTATACATGTATTGACGGTTCATCCTACAAAGCAAAAAAAATGGCAAGATATTTGCTGTTGTTACAACACCTACACCATCAGAGACAGAGAGTCCCTCGTGTTTTCAGGGATAGACAGAACCCATTAGATTACACGGACGATGACAATCTAGTGAAGAACTATCGTCTTGATAGACATTTAATTTTAGACCTTTGTGCTGAAATAGGTCAGGGGTTGGAAAGACCAACCAGAAGGAGCCAGTCGCTTCAGGTTTCTCTACAAATTCTGATAGCTTTGCGATATTACGCTACCGGAAGTTTCCAGTCTGTTATAGCGGACGCACATGGTGTTAAGATTAACTCTGTGTCAAGGAGCATTCATTATGTGTCTCGAGAGTTAAGTCTAAGATTGAGTCGTTATGTCAATTTCCCAGATGGAAGAACGCAACAGTTGGATGATATCAAGGATGGTTTTCACAACATCGCCGGATTTCCGAATGTACTTGGTGCGGTGGATGGGACGTTTGTGCCTATTATAGCGCAAACAGAGGACGAACATTTATATGTAACCAGAAAAGGATTTCATGCTATCAACATGCAGGGAATATGTGATTCACAAAACATTTTTCTGAATGTTGTAGTATGTTGGCCGGGATCTTCGCACGACGCGTTTGTCTCGAACAATTCTGAAACTACAATGCTTCTCGAGGAAAATGATTACAGTGACAGCTGGTTGTTAGGAGACAGTGCATATCCGTTGAAAAGATATTTACTTACACCTGTTCTTAACCCCACAACACAAGGACAAATTCGATACAATATTGCACACAAGAGAACGCGCTGTATTATAGAGCGTACCTTCGGACTATGGAAGGTGCGATTTAGATGCTTGCATAAATCCGGGGGTTATCTTATGTACAGTCCTAAAAATGTGTTTACATCATTAAATCAACTGTTGTTCTTCATAATATTTGCGTTAGGAGAAGCATTCCGATTCCCGACAGCAATGGCAACGATGATGATGAAAATGATGATGATGGCGATGAAGACGATGATGATGATAATGAAGATGACGCAGACGCGGAGAGGAACTAAGCTGATGGTCGACAAGTGCGTGACGAATTAATTCGGAACAAGTTTAGCACTTATCTATGCGTAAACATACCTTATACAACTAATTATTGTAGATTATGATGTATTAATTTATGTGTTGTAATTTTTTAATATTTCGAGATAAACAGTGCAGAAAAATGCCATGAAAATACGAACATCTGTATGCAGGTCGAATTTAACATTCATAACTTATCAACTTATATTATGCATAAAATTCCATTCCATGTTGAGTGATTGTTATATTTTATAAATCCGAAGGTATACGTGTAAAATTACCTTGTGTCCAAGCGTCGGTTCAGCTAACATTCTTGACAAATTTGTTATTTTCTATTTTTATTAGCAAGTAATAATTAATTATTCATACAACTTGATGGAATTACCTTATTTATTTTTTAAATTCATCCCCGTGATTATTTACTGTTCTTCAAGCTACTGCTATGACACTTATTATAAAAAGAAAATATACATTTAAATTAATATTTGACATTGGCTACTAACAAGTGCGAATTGGTGAAAAATCATAATATTGTTAGATAGTTAAAGAGACTTGCACACATTGGTCTAGTTTCTAGATAATCTATCTGTTATTATCAATATATACATTGGTCAAGATTGCATTTTTAATGAAAAACTGTGTTTTTATAAAACTTGTATTTTTAAACGCAGGTTCTTCAGACATGGCCTCTGGAATTACGCCCGTTTATCTTTTAGCGGATGAAAACATATACAGTAAACAACAAGTATATAACAAATTATATTAGAAACAAAACCATCAAACATTGTCGCCGTTAAAAATATTTGCTTACTTAGCAAATTTTGTTAAACATATAAACGTTTTTTATAGGTGATGTGGGTGTTGTAATTGTATGGCTGGGATACGATCCAACATGTTTACATGAAAGGCTACTTTGCCCCATTTATCATTAATTAAATTTGCCCATGCTGATATATATGTCACATTCATGCGGACGTGTACTTGTCGAATATATTTTGTTTTCAACAAAAGATATTTGAAGTCTTCTGCACAAAATGGTTCACAGTCATATACATTTTTGTATATATATACAGTTTTCACATTATTCATAAACAGCCATAAACAGCAGACTTTCCTTTGAAAAGCGTATCCCACTCAAAATGACCGTTTTAATATTCGATATTCTTTAGGCTACTTTTCAAATGATAGGCGAGTTATACGGAGTTTAGCGTATTCGTTCCGTAAAGTTTAAGATAAGTCAAATGATGATAATTTCCCAACACAGCGACGTCAGAAAGAACGTCAACATTCAGTACCAAATGCCGCACATTTGTTATGTATCGAAGTACCTCGTTTATATCAACACATGATTTTACTAGAGATGTCACGGTAGCTGATTCAATTTTTCTCCAAAATGAACGTGATAATATGATGCTTTTGAATACTGTACAAACTCTCGGAATAGTTGACAACAATTCATCAATAGGTAACCAGCGCAAAATGTCTTCCCAAATTATCTGCAATGGAAAAAGTGATAAGTTTAATTACAGAATTTTGAAAGAAACAAAACTATAAACTAATATATGAAAGACTGGATAATTTATCATTTCACTTTATGTTACCGGTAAAATACACCTTAATCTAATTAATGAACGTCCGGCACTTGTAGAGCGTGATGTTATAATACATACGGAATATTATGTTGCAGTAGCTTTATGAGGCTTTGTGTTTTGCTACGAACAGCGGTGGAAAATTGATATCTCGCTCGCGAGATATCAATTTTCCAACGTTGCGAGTAGAAAAATACATAGACTCAGAAAGTTACTACAACATAATATTTCTTTTATTATATACCTTTCCGTTTTATTAAGAAAATGAAATGTAGTTGTTAAGAAATAAATTCGTGACTGACGGATGAATACGTAATTCTTGGAAAACCGGTCACGCCTTTAATAATTTTGGTTCCCGTTTCCAAATGCAACGTCATGCAAAGCTAAGATCGGAACCAACATCAAAAATAGTCCGACACTTCCATCTGTCGATAACATAATACAGAATTATCTATCCGTTGAAACGTATTTGCGCTTCAAGATTTGCGTGTATTTTAGGGGTATATAATAAAAATTGTTATCACATACCCGTGTTGCTTTTGCGACTCTGTAAAAATGGTATTGCACGGCCGTGCATAGTGTAAAGACGCGCTAAATGTTAGCGTTACACTGTAAGCGCTCAAAAAAGACTTAGTGTCACATTAAACCAAATGCCGCCGTTATGTGATCGAAGTACCTGTATTCTCAAGATTTTACTAAATCTGCAATTATCGGCAAAGAAAACAATAAATGTGTATACTGCACGGCTCGGATGATAATTTTCAATGGTCACTGAATGTTTCAAATTATCATCGAGGAACATAATTCAGAATCTGCAGATACACTATGACTGGCGACTGGTAATTATCATTTTTTTCCGAGTAAAAACACTTAATCTAATTTAAAAATCGTCCTTGTGTCGTGATTATTCTGCGGGTTGCAGAGTTTATAGAGCTAAGTGTTCAAACGATATCAGCCTGTGATATCTCGGAATCAATTCAATCAAGATACATATTTCGCAAAGTATCAAAGTTTTCAAATGTAAAAATTATGTGTGATAAGTTCTTTTAATTATAGTAAAACTGATGTATTGTTTTATTGTCATAGCGAAATGAATACTAATTTGAATTCGCTCACGCCTTGTAATATAAGTTTCGTGGTTCCCTCCAATTGAGACGTATTGCAAAGCTAGATTTACAACTGACATAATAGTGACATACATCTGATATCATAATACAGAATTCATCTACACGTTGAGTATGCGACTCGACGTATTTTCTTCCGATTCATTTTAAACGATCTTGGCGTCGATTTAAATGCGTTATTTTTCTTAAAAATTCGTTAAAATCGCACAACTGTTTATTTGCTATGACTCTGTTACAAAGGTATGCAGCGCATGTTAAATCGACGGCTCATTTTATTACACTGTAACCTAGCATAAATTGATTGTTTTTTTTCACTTTAAACAGCCTTTATTTTGGGTATGTGATAAATAGAATATTGTATTCGTGTGGATTCATAACTGAATTTATGGATTAAGTTCAATAAAATAAATTTATGCTCGCCAGAGGCTCGCATGATACATTTTCAATCAACTTGTTCAATTAATTCAGTATTGAACTTATAATCATTCAATATCCTCTATTTATTGGATTCCATCTTGTCAATTTACACTCATTTTCATTTCAAGAGTCAAAAAATCCACATTAAATGTATATTGTACTCACTAAATCCTCCTTTTCGTTTTTGCGGTTCAAAGAGTTTATAACAAATGCAAATTAAACACAAGATAGATCTAGCCTTGTTTTCATTTTGCAAGTCCAAATGATCCATATCAAATCCATATTGTACGCAAAGACACAAAGTTCTGTCAAAATGTTAAAACATTGATGGTGTGAAATAAAGATGTCATTTTACATTGATGAGTTACAATACGCTGGTTCTATTGGACTCGCTAGTTCTATTGGACTCATACACAGCTGCAAAACTAATATTTGATTCAGCTAGCGCCTTGTCAAATATAAGTTTTCCAGCTGTGTTCTCGTCCAATTGAGTACAGTATTGTACATAACAATGTATACTAACTGCATACTATCAGTGAAATAAAATCTATATCACAAACAGCATATCACTCACACTTGGACTGGTATAGCCGAACTTTTTTTTGGCGAACGATTAAATTTTCTTATTCCGTAAGTTGACAAATTTCCATAATACGTGATTCTAAATGGCGAATTTCTCAATTTAAATGTCATTATTTCTCTATTAAAAACAGTTAATAATTACGTCACAATAATTATTATTGTGACTATAAACTTGAATTACTTTTGTTTGTAAAGCGTTCGCGCAGCCGTTGAACGTCTGACGTCATTTTCTATACGTACGTACGTGTGTTTTTTTTCTCACACTTTTTAGGCATTAAATTGAAAGAAAATATGTTGTATTTATTTAATGATAACTACTGATTTTTATCAGTGAAATAAAATCAATATCACTCACATGCCGTCACTCAAACGATGACTAAAATAGCTTTGTCGAACTTGACTTGGCGTGCGCTTTAATTTTCATGATTCCGTTAACTTTAATTTATATGAAAAATAATTGTTAGTTTTGTTTTTTTATGGCATTTTTTCATATCAATTCAAATATCTTTTTTTTCTCAAATAGATAAAAAATATTTCACCGCGATAGTGACAATTAACTTGAAATACTTGTGTTTGTGCAGCAACGTTCAAACAGCCGTCATATTTAAGTGCGTTTGTATAACGCGCAGTTAAAAATTGCTATTTTTTTCACTTTTCATGCATTAAATAAAAAATGATTTGCTTTTCATGATTATGCTATATATAATTTTTTAATGTGAGAAAATAGTTAAAACTACTGACAGTATTTACACATAAAGATACCAAACATTACAGATTCATGTAAAATGTGGATTCCTCTTCTCCAGTCTGTTCTTGATGATTTCCTCGAAGACGAGAAAGAAGGTCAGTTAAAGATGCTAAAATGTCTTTCTCAATACAACCTCTCTTGCAAGAACCTCAAGTTCATTTGTAGAAAAGTTTGGTCTCCTTTTTCTTGATTCCGCCATTTTTTTCTGAACTAATTTCCACTATGATGTGAAATACTACAAAAAATCTATGCATCAATATGAAAACCGTGCTATGTTTGAACTACACAAAGTCACCTTTGCATATACGGTGTCGTAAATAACGTTTGAGAAACGAGATTGTTAAGGTGCTCTTCCAAAATAAGGAAGAAATAAGGACATCTTAGTTATATCGTAGCAATATCGTAAGTTTTGTCACAACTTTACGATACGATAATTTTTCGAGACAACCACCCCAGGTTGTTCTTTTTCCGATATTCCTAGGACTCATGCTCATAAATATTTTGGCCATTTGTAAAGGTGTGTAGAAACAATAACAACACTAGAGTGACTAGAAGCTCAAAATAAAATTTTGAGCCATTTTGACCACTTCAATGGCAGATTACTCAAATAATAAAGCAAGCCAGACCAAAATTACATGTTTCCAAGATTACCTATTGGTGGTTATTATAGCATAGGTTCCGTATCCCTAAGGCATATGGTGTTTGGATTGTGTGCCAAATTGCTATTTTTTACCATTTTTGTTATTTCTTAAGTCACTGTGACCCTGAATTTCACCCGAAATAACCCATTTTCTAGCTTGATCTAGCTTACATTAAGATACAACTTCTAGTCAAAATCAAAGCAAAAATGAAAACGCTGGAGGGGTAACGTCAACTTTGTTTACAGACGATGGACAACGGACGAAAAGTGTCTGTTAACCACAGACTATACATTAAGCTACATGAAAAGCTGAATAATTGAATCTATTAAAGCGTGTACCTATACAAGTACCTACTACGACTGCTACTACTGTACAGTAACAAGCTGCTTTTACTGCCAATGCTTCTCCCCAGATGCTACAACTACCGCCG